TCTGGTCTTTACATTTCTGCCCAAAACAGATTTAAATGCCGTAACCAGCTATGGTTAGTAACTGCCTTTAAAACAAATAATTGATTGTTCTCTTTCCACATGAATTGGTGGAAGAAAGGCAAGGGTGGGGTAAAGAGCTGCAAATTAATACATGGAAAACTGCTTGCTTTGCAGATTAGGATTAGTTACAAGAGGATGATCAAACATATTCTTTAGTAAATGGCATAGGCGTGGGAACTAGGAGTGCGGGGGGTGCTGCAGCACCCCCAGATTTTACATGGGGCCTCTAGCCCCACACCCAGGCCTCCATTCCCCAGCTGGGGGCTTGAGTCCCAGCTGCTGGCCCCGCTCCCGGCTCCATGCCCTGCGTCCGGGTCTTGGGACCCGGCCACTTGCCCCGCACCCCTGCACTGCTCCTGGCCCCACTGGGGGGTGGGTGGGTAGGGGTAGACAGGGGTAAGGGGACTGGCTTTCAGCACCCCCACTATTAAAAGGGTTCCAGCGCCACTGGTAAGTGGAAAGGGATACGGTGATCAAAACTCTTATTATTATTAGCTAAAGAATACGCATTCTAGCCTGAGCAGTAGTGCTGGATCAGTAAATCTAAATTTTTCCCTGTGGAAAATTTTGTGGGCTCGAAAAAGCACCCCAACTTCTGTAGGTCCAATAAAAGCTTTTCAATCGTACACAGCAGCGTTGCTGAAACAATTTGTATAGTGGGGATGCTGAGAACCACAGAACCAAACTGTAAACCCTGTATACAATGGAAACCATTTCAAGCTGGGGGTTGCAGCAGCACCACCTGCACCCCTAGTTCCAGCACCTATGTTACACAAAGTTCTTCCTCAGGTCTCGTGTTTCCCTGACCCGAGGAAGAGCTCTGTGTAAGCTCAAAAGCTTGTCTCTCTCACCAACAGAAGCTGGTCCAACAAAAAATATTTTCTCACCCACCTTCTCTCTCTAATATCCTGAGACCAACTCAGCTGCAACACTGCATACAACCTTTTGAAATTATTCAACCAAAAAGTTCCAGATTCTCAGCACAGATTTTTCTAAATGAAGTGAAAGTTTTCATTTCATCTTGTTTTGAAAGATCAGTTGGGAACTACATTTTTTTGCTTTGAGTTTTCTGATTGGAAAATTAAAAGATTTAATTGAAATTGACGTTTTCCTGCGGAACATTTTGATTTAGACAAAACAATTATTTCAGTGTCAGTGACCTCCTTGTAAATATTTGTTACAGAAACTCCAAGAAGCTCAGGATTTCTGGTTTCATCTTGAAAAGCCAGAGGCTACATCTTAGAAAAGCAGCTAAGTCTGAATGGGGTGAAAATAGTTGACCTCATTCAGCTTTTCAGAAACGGTGACCGTCTCCTTCTTTGAGAGGAGCATTAACTAAATCAAACATGTGACCGATGTTAGCCATTTAATGCACTGCTAGAAGGTGCTCAGATACTATGATGCTGAGCTTGGTACATGAACCTATACAGAATAGATATTTTTCTTTCAACCTTTAAACTGGGCTGGAGACCATTAAATGTTTTGTCCCCACAGCAAAACAGCAACTGGTTTGTTCAGACTTGCGGGACCGCCTGACTGTAGTGATCCATTAGGACAACAAACGATACAGTAATTTGTGAGGTTGAAACTCAGTGCATTAGCTTTTGCATAGCTAACAAATAAATGGAGTGTGTGTGTATGTGCATTTGAATAGTTAGCCATTGATTCAAATTATTCTATAAACATATTGCTAAATCCTCGGCATTATAATTTTCAGTGCTGAGTGCGAATGCAAAACATCATAGCTGACTTTAGAGGGGCTGCTGAGACATAAGAATTATGTTGTATCAGAAGGTGCTGGCATATCTTACTTAAGGGCAGTTTCCTGGAACTGAACCATTGCATATGTTAGAGTATTTTAGGAACTGTGTTTATAGAAAGATGAATTAGAACTAAGAATGTTAGTGTGCAAGTTAAATAAGTATTTAACCACAGGTAAAGACCCAAGTACTTCAACAGATATTACTGCAGGGGTGGCCAACCTGTGGCTCCGGAGCCACATGCGGCTCTTTAGAAGTTAATATGCAGCTCCTTGTATAGGCACCGACTCTGGGGCTGGAGCTACAGGCACCAGCTTTCCAATGTGCCGGGGAGTGCTCGCTGCTCAACCCAGGCTCTGCTACAGGCCCTGCCCCTACTCCACCCCCTCCTGAGCCTGCAGTGCCCTCGCTCCCCCTCCCACCCCCCAGCCTCCTGATCAGGAGGTGTGGAGAGGGAGGGGGAGGCACTGATCAGTGGGGCTGTGAGTGGGTGGGAGGCGCTGGGAGCAGGGGTGGGGGGAGCTCATGGGGGCTGCTGACATAATACTGTGACTCGTTGGCAATGTACATTGGTAAATTCTGGCTCCTTCTCAGGCTCAGGTTGGCCACCCCTGTATTACAGTGACAGGCACCCTAGAAATATCTAAAAAAGAGGAAAGAACCTTCAGTCAAAATCCTCCTCTATTTTCAGCACTTGATAGAAATGTTACTTTCTCTTATACTAGTTCAAGTAGCAGCCAAGTTCTTTTATCTTTCCAAAGGGCATGATATTCTAGTCTAGATACGGCAGTAGAGCAACACACACACAATCTTCAGATTTACGAAAAGATATACCGTATATACTCGTTCATTAGCCCGTTCGTTTATAAGCTGACTCCCGAAGATGGTTAGGTAAAAATAGCAAAAACTGTATGACCCTTTCATAAGCCGACCCTATATTTCAGGGGTTGGCAAGCTTTGGCTCCTGGCCCGTTAGGGTAAGCCTCTAGCAGGCCTGGACGTTTTGTTTACCTGGAGCGTACACAGGCATGGAGCCCCTCAGCTCCCAGTGGCCGCGGTTCGCTGTTCCCAGCCAATGGGAGCTGCGGGAAGTGGTGCGGCATAGAGTTTAAAATCATCAAATTTTGGTGTAGACCTGTTTATAAGCCGACCCCCGCTCTTTGAGGCTTCACATTTGTACCAAAAATATTCGGCTTATGAACGAGTATATACAGTAAATCTCAGCTCTGTGGCTGGCCAAGCATACTGCCGTAAGTTAGACCAAGGCACAATAGCCGTTTTGTAACCGTTCTAAATGTGTCAAAGGGCATTTGATACTCCACAAAAGGGCTGAAATGCCATCCCCATAAACCATCCCCAGGCAAACTTTTTGGCCTGAGGGCCACATCTGGGAATAGAAATTGTATGGAGGGCCATGAATGCTCAGAAAATTGGGGTTGGGGTGCAGGCTCCGGGGTAGGGACAGAAATGAGGAGTTCAGGGTGTGGGAGTGGGCTGGGGAAGTGTGGTGGAGGACTCCAGCTGGGGGTGTGGCCTCTGGGGAATGAGGAGTTTGGGGTGTAGGAGGGTGCTCTGGGCTGAGACCAAGGGGTTGGGAGGGTGGGAGGGGGATCAGGGCTGGGGCAGGGGTTGGGGGTGCAGGCTCTGGGCAGCGCTTATTCAATGGAGATATCCTATCTCCTAGAACTGGAAGGGACCTTGAAAGGTCATGGAGTCCAGCCCCCTACCTTCACTAGCAGGACCAAGTACTGATTATACCCCAGATCCCTAAGTGGCCCCCTCAAGAATTGAACTCACAACCCTGGGTTTAGCAGGCCAATGCTCAAACCACTGAGCTATCCCTCCCCATGGATCCTGGAAGCAGCAGCATGTCCCTTCTCTGGTTCCTACGTGGAGGTGTGGCCAGGTGACTCTGCATGCTGCCCCCAAGCACCGCCCCTGCAGCTCCCATTGGAGCGCCGGAGGGGGGCCATGCCGCTGCTTCCGGGAGCCGTGTGGAGTTTGCCCACCCCTGCCATAAACTCATGGCTATGTACACTCTATATGTACTCTCAAATAATCAAGATACCTAGTTTCATTCATCCCATCTGGAGAAATTCCATTTTTCTTTTCTTTAAACAAGTCTAATATAACGCAAACAAATCACTTTGCCTTCCCAGGGGTCCTTGATCAATAGCCATCTATTTGTTCTAGTTTTCTACAACTGTGGTAGCAACGACCCATATA